CTCCACCAGCGCTGTGTGTAATAAACCCCTATGCTTTGACCTCTACACGGTGTGGATTTATGTCCTTCACTCCTGCTTGCAGGTTCCTCCTCATGTGTCCTGCTGCTCCCAGCTCTCCAGCCACAGCCGGCTTCCCTGATCAGCTCTCATCTTTCCGCCTGCCTCTTTCTCCTGGCTCTCAGGATGCTGCTACCCAGCCTTCTCCCCTTGCTGCCTGCAGCCTGCTGCTCACCCTCACACACACTGGCCAGCTCTATCTCTGTCTGATCTGCCCTGTGCCCAGGATGTCACTTCTCTTTCCTTGTCATTCTGGTTAACACAGCGCCCCCTACTGGTGAGATGCTGATCTGGGTCCCTGCCTCTCCCAGGTTAACCTGGGGCTCAATCATAGAATCATAGACTATTAGGGTTGGAAGAGACCTCAGAGAGGTCATCCAGTCCAACCTCCTGCTGAAAGCAGGACCAACCCCAAAGCAGCTTTTTCCTTTCACCCCATTCTAGGTGGTGGAGTGCCCAGAACAGAACCAGTTCTGGCAATTTTTTTTGACAAATAGATTTCTTACCAGGCATATTAATACAGAACTTTGTGAAATTCATTTAAATGACAATACAGAACTGTATTTACTGTATCTGTCAGAAGCAGTGCAAAGGCTTGGGGGAGCCAGGGGTAATGGAGGAGCTGAGGGAGAGGGAAAGAACCTAGGAGTGAACCTGGCAGGTGTTGGGTGTGGCTGGGAGGTTTTCCTCTGGGGGGGTTGGGGGAATTGTTTGGGTGTTGGAAGTCTCCCCCATGCAGACCCTGGCTGACCCCAAGCCTTTCCCATTCAGTCAGGCACATCTGCCCCTGTCCCCACACCCTTCATCCCCATGGGTCCCTGCAGCCCCCCACCCCTGTCCCCAGGCTCAGCTCTGTCACCCCACTAGATCCTGAGCCCATGTTCCAGTCTGTCCCCCCCCCCAGCCATTCTGAAGCCCAATCTGTGACCCCCCCCAGCAGCTCTGTGTGCCCCACTCTGTCCTAACCTGGCTCCATGGGCAGTTTGCTGTGATGGACTTGTACTGAGTCCTGGGGGAATTCTGCAGCACCGGGCATAGAATTTTATATTTTCCTGCATAAAAAACATTTTGCCTAAGTGCTGCAGTTCCATCTTCTGCCCACCAGTGGCCGCTATGGAGCTAGAACAGCCGGCACGAATGCAGCTGTCTGTTCTGTTGCCAGAGCGGCCTCTGATGGGGAAAAAGTGGAACTGCATCACTTTTTACCCAAAATGTTTTTTATGCTGGAAAATACAAAATTATTCAAGACAAATTAATTCTGAACGACTGCAGACGCACAGAATTTCCCCAGGTGTAACAGTAACTGATACAACAGGTGCACATGGAAAGGAATACCCTCCGGGACCTGTGGTGCCAATTGGAGCGTTGTGATCTATCTGTGCATGTCCAGAGTGAAGAATCTCCTTTTAGACACCACTGACATCAGTGTTTGGGGAAAAAATATTGTGACAAAATTCTTCCTCTATCTTGGTGGGTCTACGCTTATTGACGAATTTTCTTGCCTCAGAGATTCACCATGTGTGTTGGGGAGCAGCCCAGAGACCTTCCCCTCTGGAAGAACCCACAGTCCAGGTCAACTGGGAGGTTTGGGGGGAACCCGGGCCCGCCCTCTACTCCAGGTTCCAGCCCAGGGCCCTGTGGACTGCAGCTGTCTATAGGGCCTCCTGTAACAGATGCATGACAGCTACAACTCCCTGGACTACTTCCCCATGGCCTCCTCCAAACACCTTCCTTATTCTCACCCCAGGACCTTCCTCCTGGTGTCTAATAACACTTGTGCTCCTCAGTCCTCTAGCAACACTCACTCCCAAGTCCTCACACTCACACCA